GAACGTAAATGGCTTATCCTCCTTGGATCCAATCGAGCGTAATGCGATGTTAAACGTTGCAATATTTGATTCAATCTGCTGGAGATTGGGAGTTCCTCCTGCTCCCCTTATCCATCGCTCTACCTCCACTGCCCTGCAGCCGCCACGGTCGCACCATGGGAAATTACCGAGAGTGCGCTCATAGGTCTTTATAAAGCCGTTGAGCTGTTGATAGCTCAAGTTCTGTCAGTTGTGCCAGCTACGTTTTTGTAGGAATTCGTTTATTCCAGCTCCCTGATCACTTCATTTTGCGGAAGACAGACAAACATATCTGCGAACAGAAACACATACTTACAAACCGAAACATCGAGTTAGCGGTTCATCTAATAGAAGGATATATTCTGACGTGCTCGAAAAACTGAAAGTGTAACTATATCATAATACAGGGATGGCCAAAAAGACAATTCACTCCACGTTTCAACAGCATTAATCACACTTTGCTAAACTCAAACCGACTGCTCCCAACTTGGAATTAAAGAGCACATCCCAATCTATCAATAAACGTTATAACAGCTTTCTGTAAAAAAGACATCACAAGAATTTGCCATGGGAACCTTGTGCACGGTTCGAGCTCAACGTCTTCGGCGGATCATGGGCCTTTACGACTTTATCTGAAGCGCTGGTCAAGAGGGGTCTTGCATATTTAGAGCTACTCCCAAGAAGGGATCCGTCAGTGAGCGTAAGAACCTTGTGCATGAGTGGAGCTCAATTGGTCCTTGGTGGATCATTTACCTTAACCATTCTATCTGAAGCGCTGGTCAGGAGGGGTCTTGCATATTTAGAGCTACTCCCTAGGAAGCAATCCGTCAGTTAACCGATTGAAGAAATTTCGTAGCAGCTTCAGGCTGGAACGATTACTTTAGGCCTTCTTGAGCTCAACGGTGATGGAAGATGACGTCATATTTTGAGGACGGTGAGGGCAGTGGAGGAGGGCCTGCTTCTACTTATGGGAGGACATCTAAGGGATATTTGCCGTAAAACTTTCATCAACAGCGGCATCCTTTGCGATGAAAAGTTTGATAATGTGCACCAAAGTTTCTCTTTTTGGCCACCTCTGTATAAGAAATTGAGAGGGTATTCGCTCTTCATTTCAAGCCATCCGCCCAATGATGTCTCTGCAATCATCAGCAAGTCTTGTTTCCACTTTGAGAATTCGCTCCAATTTGAGAATTGTGGTTGCTCCACTTACCAAGAGAGTTTTAGTATAAAAGACATATTAGGCTTTACTTCAGATCTGACCACGCATAATTCAGATGCACATCAGAAATTACACGCACGGCCCTCAGCTGGCTGGAGCTTTTTATTTTTAGCAGAACGCGGCCGTCTCGAAATAGAAAAATATATTAAACACTATCACTGTATAAAGGAGGAGTCTTGAATCCTGTAGTAATCAACTGAAGATTTATCATACTATATTACAGACATAAGTTTGATCCAATCACAGTGCCGCCGTGGGGAAAACCGTGCAACGTGAGTCGTGACTGTCCTGGGTATTTTCTATATCATACCGAATGCAAAATCAACCTCTGCTTCGTTCCACCAAGAGATTACTTGAGAATGTAAAGTTTGATGTTGCGAAAAAATTTTCACAGAAATTATTTCGATTTCAACATATTTGCTTCTTCTCATCACTGTGTTATATGCAAAATATACATGTATACTACTCTGAAGAAAATTGAAGCGAATTATGCACTCCCACAATTCTATAATCAAATCATAATGGAAGTTGTGAGCGAATGATCCGGCATGAGGCACCATGAAAGAAGAATTTAAACAAACAGAAATTATGTGAAGCATAAAGGCATAAAGCATTTGCCGTTGATCAATCCCTTTTGGGATGCGGCACGCATTCTACTTCCATTTGTACATTCGCTAGTGGCATTTGAATGCGATGTGGCCTATACAATGACTTGCGGGGGCCAGCCGATGTACAAGTCAGTGTTTTTCGCTCCTCCCAATAAGTCTTACCACTAAAAACCCCGAGGAATGCGTCTGTTGCCCTGAACGACGCACACGAAGGATTCCATTCGCGACGCGCTACTGTTGTCCCCACCGCCACTTGCCTTCACACAACTCCGCCTTTAGGGTGAAATTGTGTGTAGAAATACTGGGTGGTCCAAAATTATGAGGACCAAGACATTGTGTCGTTAATAGTAGTTATAGTTAGTTATAGTATAGTTAATAACGCATAGTAGCTTGATGGAACAAACCAACTTCTGGGAAGTATTTGTAACTCTTACCTCAAAGTAATTCCAGAATAGAATTGAGATCTGCCACTTCCCCCGTTAACACGAGCCTTCGGATGAGGGGGATGGCGCGTGCGGTGGCACGCAACTAAGGCGTGTCCAAATGTTTCCAGGCCTTCTGCTCTGCCTTCTTCAGGGAATCAAACTTTTGTGTTGCATTTATTTGCGCTTGCATCCAGGGTGTGAAATACAGAAATCTAGAGCTATTAGGTGGATGGTTCCATTGTAACAATTCTTCGAAAGCAACGAACTCGAAAAATCGCTTTTTGGAGGATTTTTGCTTTATTCTTGGGTGCTCGGTCCTGTAAGAAGTTCTAAGTAGACTACTCGTGTGCTTTCTATCCACTACAGATGTGGAGTCTTTAGAGTGTCTGGCTGGGTTTTCACATCAATTTTTTCATTTTGGGTGTACGAAAGTCGACAAGGGGAGACCTAGTTTCTGCATCTGATAATTATCCTGGTGGTAACTGTAACTTTCGAGTCCCCGAATTTTCCATCTGTGGTGGTTCCAAACTTATTGAAGAGTTGAACTGTTGCTCATAAGAGCTTCCCTGATAGGTTAGACTGCTGCTAGATGTAACGTGCCAGAGCCCCTAGTGAGTTCAATTTGAGGACTGACTAAAGAGTAGTTATTTCACTAGTTTTGAGAACTTCATGAAATTTGGTTTCATTAGGAAGAAGACATTGTACCCTTCACATAGTGCACAGAAAACGAGATGAAAATGGAGCGATACGGAAAAAAGTGGATATGACTGCGCGCGCACGCGGTCCTCATAATTTTGGACCACCCTGTATTTCCTATTGTGAATAAGTTGTTTCACATTGCGTAGAGCGCTGCACAGGTCACCACACTGATGCGTAATGAAAAATGTAGAAGAAGTCACTCAAATCATGATACAAACAACAACCTTTGTGTGTCGGTTTATCGGTGTGCATGTCCTTGTCCGAGCGGACCAATCAGAACTGAGAAGCTCGAAGAGCTATGCTTCGTGATGTTGATGTCGTGATTATGATAACACTCACACGGCTATATAAACACCGCTCGAGACGCATCACACTAAGCCTCATTCTACGTACATGGTGTTGTCGTGGCAGCTGGAGGCAGGGTCAGCCGTCATATTGGACAGATTTCAAGAATTTTACGATCCTACCCTCTTGCGAGGTTTCAATACGGCCTCGAGCACTTACTATTTACTGTACCAAGGAAAAGACTAACATTGCGGAAAACAAGTGCAATCAACAAAAATCATAATTAGCTTGAATTCAAACATTACTAGCAGAACATGAGCACCAGTAGTTTAATGATAAGCACAAAATCGCAAAATGAAGCCATTACGAGTTGCTGAACAGGATTGGCCTATAGTTTCAATGGCGCTGCTTGCGCAGGAAAGATATTAAGCTTCATGACTTGGCTTTCAGAATCATAAAAAGTATTTCCATATACACAAACACATATCAAAATGGAAATATTCACAATGATTTTGAATTGCAAACGAGTGCATGGCCCATCTCAGAGCACGAGAGTCTACTGCAGAAGTGTCAGAGTGAGAGCGGTAGTCACGGTTGCCTTTCCCTCGGCCGGGCGCGGATAGAACAACACTGTCTGCTGATTTTCAGATGAGTGTAATTCTGTTCGACATCAATTTTAATCGGATTACTAGGTAGATTTGTAATCTACGAGACTGCTAGTTTCAGAAAATTCCACGTTTTGCAGTGCAGTATCTCCAAGTCTTAGTTATGGGGTAGAGAAAAAGAATTCACAGAAATGCGCACTTCTTCATTTGAAAGGTTGTAATTTTCTTCAAATAAGAAAGTGTGAGAAGTGGTAAGAAAATTTTGAAACTCTAGATTGTTTTCTTTCTAAAAAGTACTCAAACTTTTGTAAAGTTTCATTTCTTTCAAAAATCGCCCGTTGGACCTGTTTTTGTGCACACACGGGTTTTTCTTTCTATGACCACAGCTTTTTTCAGAGTCAACCTTTTGCAATTCTTGTACATCAGGAAAAACTAGAACGTTGGAGCCTTCTAGCAAATACTAGAGCTCATTTGAAAATTTATGGAGTCAGAAATCGTACCATGGGACCGTTTTTTAATGAATTTCGGAGCTACTCTTCTGAAAGCACGAATTTTTAATCAAGCACTCACAGCTCTCTTCAAGCCAGTTTTATGGGGGATAATGATGACAGGACGGGCGCACAAGCCTTGCGTTTCATATTTGGTTGTCTCATAATTCCTGTCGCATTTCTATTCAATTTCAAATTCCCCGTCTAAGACGGTTTCGATTGCGAAATACGTTAGTATGTGCTGAAGTATGCTTCCAAGAGCCTTAACAGCATGGTTTCGGAAACGCAAGCCCTAATGGGTTAATCAACTAGGAATAAAAATAGGTCAGTGACTATAATGAATGATTATGCTTTACGATCCTCAAATGAACTCTGTAGCAAGGAGGACAACAGAGAAGACCAGCGCTGTGTTTGACCCAGTCTCTGCTACTGATAGGGTACTGAGCTAGTGGTCCAATCGCAACGGCAAAGACGAAACGAGCTATGAACTTCAACCTCATACTGGGCCTGCGGTCATTTTTGATGAGCCCCTTGCACCCTAAATTGGGAGTGCCTCCGTACGTTGCTACCAGGGTATTGTAGCAGGTACCTGAGCGCAGCCGATGCACCAGCACACGCCGCCAGTATGGCAAGGACTGCTGCAGAATGAAGTTTTGATGGAAACCTTATGGTCCGGCCGACCATGAGCGAGAAGCACGCCTGACCATCTGGAAAGAATTCACTTGGGACGGCAAATAGCAGAGCCTTCCCTAATCGGTCACCAGTGGAAATGAGTCACGAGTCCACTGCGACAACAACATGCGGCACGTCTTGATGGCTGCCTCGCAGCCAGGAAGCACCAGCTCAACCAAAGCCCGAACTCCGTTTTCTGAGAATATCGCTCTCGTTTTGTTGGATTCGCTAGGTGGCCTGGTTTGGGAACCACTTCAATGTATGAAGACAAGCATTGCTAAAGTCAGCGCGGAATAGCCCTCTAGGCTGGCTTCGGGGTTGCGAGGGAATCGTCAGAAACGTTCTCAGATTGTATTGGCATCGCTCTGTCGGCTACCATTCACCCTGCGCTCTGAATAAGATCTGCCAGAGAAGAAGGTAGATTTGGCACCAAACGACGTCTCAAGGTTCGCCAGTTCGTTCGTTCTGGGCTTGGAAGCTTCCAAACGCTCACTAGCAAATGCACGCATATCAGTGACCATGATGGTGGGCCCGCGTTTGGTAAGCAAGTGGTAAGTGGTTATGTCATTGGATCAGTTGTTTCTAGAAGAGATAACTCTTGGATAAACAAAAGTGTCGAAATTGCGACAACAATTATGAGACAACCCAATAACAAATAGTAACCCTCACAGGAAGACGCCGACAGGCGATTATTCGTTCCCAAACTTTTCTTAAAGCCCTTCAGCAGTCAATCTACCAAGTGGTCACTCTTTTATTAACTTAGGTCCAGTTTGAAGGCATTGGTTCACCTTCTAGGATTATATTTGTGTACGTGAACAGTCAAATATGGACACTTTCGCAGCACTTTCTGCTCTGAGGTGCGCCATGCACTCGTTTGTGGTTAATAGTTCGGAGAAGCGGTTCGAAAGATACACCCCTCTCCTACTGTCGCGAGAGGAGACGTCTTGATTGTACTCGTTTGATGCTGTAAGCCTGCGCCTAGGACTTCACTCGCATCTGCTACATTTCGTCATTCCTTGTATATCGACGTTGACTTCTACGAATACGACCCCCCTCATCGGTTGGCCAAGTAACGACCCCCTTGACTTGCCGACAGCGGTAAACCCTGGCGAAGGTAGAGGTGGGGTGACCACTTCAGTTCAACCGGGAGCGATTTCGCTGCTAAATGAACAAATCCCTCTTTTTTTCTCTATTCTATGACCCAAAACAAACGATCAGTGCGATGAAATGACGAATCTGATATTCCTTGGCAACTCTGAGCCGAAGGTCATACGCGATGGTGTTTCTCATCAGGTTCGGCTCACGTTGCCGAGTCTATAGGCAATGATTTTCGCCGTGAACGGTAGGTTAGCGCTCCGCTTCCGGCTCAAACTATCTTCGTTGAAATGCTGTAGGGGTCAAGATAAGATACCATGTGAAATTCGGCATGGATATAGTATTTATCCGGGGTTTTCCTCTTGTTCAGCCAATCAAAAACGTTCCGGCGACAAATGGACGAATCACGCTCCTTCACTTGTTCGACCCCCTCAAGTCGAGATTGGTCTTGAATCAAAGAATCTTGCTCCTCACTCCTCCGGCCCTAA